CTGACAAAAATATTTGTCAGATTTTTTCAACTCTGGTTATAGACTCATAGAGTCTGTACCCACGAAGTTGAAGAAGACTGAAAATTATTTTTGGGGGCGAAATAAACTTATTCCCTTAAACTTATTGTGTGTGTATGTATATATATATATATATATATATATATATATATATATATATATATATATATATATATATATATATATATAAATTAAAAAGTAGACAACCTTAAGGGTCCATAGATATCTATGGACCCTTAAAGTTCTCTGTTTTTTAATCTGACTAATATTTGTTCTGGTTTTACATTAAGCTCTCTGGATTACATCCTTCTTCGGGTTATATATATATTAGTTATGATAATCAAACTTAGTAGCCATAGATATTCTAAGTACACTGACTCAAAGTTGCCTGTGAGCTCTAGTTATAGCTCTCTTTATGCTAATTACTTATTACCTAAACCAATTCCATTACACACACACACACACACATATATATATATAATGTATATATAAACACAAGGGGTTGTTGAAAAAGTTCTGAACTTGACAAAGAAAGGATTCCAAAAACAATTCTGCTGTTGGATTATTTGGTCAAGTTTTGGAAAGTGGGTTATGTTGTGAATTTATTTGGTGCCATAATAATTGTGGGTTCAATCCCTGGGCCTGATAGTAAAGACTTAGACTCAATAGAAACTGTGATGCCAAAGAGAAATAAGAAGAAAAAAACAAACCCCGGATATCTTTAGATCTTGACAGCAGAATGAGAACAATCATCCCCTCCCCCAATCGATCAAATAAAGGATTCAGATTGAAATTTTCTGAAGGCTACCTCAATTAACAAGTGTGCCTGCTGAAGGCTGCAGATCAAAATAACTAAAATGTTCTTATGATAACAATAAAGACAATGATGTCTGTAAATACTGTAAAAAAAAAAAAAATAAAATAAAATTTTTTCTGTCTCGTATATTTTTTTTGCTTTCACTTTTCTCTGTCTTGCTTTTAGGCTTTCCTCTTAAAAACCCACCTTTTTTTTTGTATCTCCCCTCTCTTGCTTTTCCAAATTCCTTCCCAGTTAATATTATTAAGTTGGTTTATTGGTCAGAAAGCGTAACTTATTTTAAGTAGAAATCGTCGGAGATTTGGTACAGATACTATATTCTGATCATATATAGAAAAACGTAATAGTCATCTGTAGAAACAAGTGGAATCATAGCATAGATTACGTCTAATTGTTCTCTGGTGTTAAGATGAATAAACACGAAAGGTTATTTTAGAATCAGTCGTTCCTTTACTTGTCTCTCATATGTATCCATAGAATAAAAAAAATGCAATTAAATATTTAGGAATCAAAGCATTGACGAATAAATAATGTTGTTGTCCTGACTGTCAGTTGACAAAACAAGATGAAAGACAAAGGCTAGTGTCCGTAAATAGCAGGGAAAGAAACAAAGGGAATTAATAAACTCCTAGCCAGGAAAAAAAAATTAAATCTTTTTTATGGCTCATGATGAAAGGCAAAAATAATTTCTCAGAGAAACAAAAACTAAAATAAAAAACAAAAAAGAAAACAAACAGAAAAAGACTTTTTCTTTGTATTGGAAAAAGAATGAACACCTCGCCCAAAGTTTTTTTGGAAACATATTGAAGTAAATAATTAATAATATTTGATTTTATTAAAAATGCACGAATATAGAACTCTGCTTAAAAATAGATTGAAAATATTGTAAGAAAAAAGTCAGGTGACAAGATATTAAGAAAAAACTTAGGTAAAAATGGCACAAGTGGAAAAATAGGAAAAAAATCTCCATTTGTTAGTAGTTTATCTTATAATCTGTTTTATATCCATGAATCCTTGGAAACAAATCTTCTCTTTTCCTATATTACTTAATATGACTTTCATGATGGGTTGTGGTAGAAGAGCCACTGAGATCAATGGTGTGTACTTGACGGTTCCTGGACAACTGAACCAGAAGTAAATAAGTAGTAAACAACTGTCCTCTGATTAGAAATTTAACTTTAAATAGCTTAAGATTAAACAGCTACTGGTGTTTAATTTTAAGCTGTTTAAAGTCTCTGTTTTTCACTTGTACCATTTTTTCCTTATTTTTTCACTTGTACCATTTTTACCTGTGCCTTTATACCATTAACCGCACTAATTAATAATAAAATAAAACAATTCTAACAATAGACTATAAGAAAAGTTACATGATAAGATAGAAGATTTGTTATTATCGTGCATCTCCATAACCACAGAATACAATTTATTTATTTCTTTATTGAGCCAAGAACTTTTACTTTTTTCACTTAAAGGACACTAGCATATCTGAAATGCCAGTCTCAATACTGTAAAGAATTCATAGCTAATGGCATTTTCAGTTCATTTTGTCTGCCTAAATTATCTTCAATTTATAATAAAATAACCATGTAGATTTGGTTGATACAAAAACCATTTTTTTGATGGCGTTGTTTGGTTTGCAAAACATGTCAAAATCAGAGTTTCTAAATTGTCTTTGATATTTACCATCTCAACCATCTGTTGTTCTAATGCTCTGTCCACCAAACTGGTGATTCTCCTGCACTGCTTATTGTAGGAATTGAACCTCTGTCTTCCAAGAAACAAGACATTTTCATCCTGGTGAGAGGGACACTCAGTGTGATATTTTGCTTACAGTTTTTAATCCAAGTTCTTAAATGTTTCATATGGGGTTTGTCTCTATTCTAGGTACGTTAATTGGTTAATTTAAATGTGGCACAAAAGCAATTTATTTTTATTCCTTTAATTCCCAGTGTTGTTCCTGGTCTTGAATTGGTTTTCTTGGTCAATAGTATAAATGCTTTGAATTTCAAAGTAATTTTTCTACAAAACCTTTAAGTAAAGATTAGTCACTATATATATATATATATATATATATATATATATATATATATATATATATATATATATATAAAAAAAAACACTTTGCATAATAATCCCTTAAATTCAAGAACAAGTTATTATAAATATTTTTAATAAGGATAGATTAAAATGTTGATGCTCTGTTGATATATTGTACATATAAATAGGCATCAATATTTAGAGAACTTAAAACAATTAACCATTTGTCATTTATTGCCAACTAAGACTGATTGTACCTTTTATATAAGTAGTGAAATAATAATTCTAAGTAATGTAGTTAATCAAAATAAATGCTACATAATTTGTTGTGGTTGAAAAATAAGCTTTTCTTGTGTCAAATAAATTGATCTACTTATGTATATATCAAATGTTATATTGATCTTGTTTTGTAAGTTTTATTTTGTTTTTTTTTTCCCCTAATATATTCACTAAATAATTTTCAGTCTCTACTATTAAAAATTCATCATTATCAAAGAGACTTACAACGAAGGGGTTTAATGTTGAAAAATGCATCAATATTCAGAGAACTTAAATTGATTACTTTGTTACTTATTTTAGTGCATCATTTTACTTATAATTATTGCCACATGATGCAAACAATAGTCAGTGCATTATTTAAGCCAATTAGCCATAAATAATCAACAGTGCCTTTTTATACCCATCTATCACTTATATTATTGCCAACTCAGACTGTTCTTAAATTTAAGCAAGCAGCAAAGTAATCATTCTAAGTAATGTGGTTAATCAAAATAAGTGCTGTATAATTTGTTAAAATTTACACTATTTACATCATTCAGATTGTTGTTTTATTTATTGCCATATTGGCAAAATGTTTTGGACATTGTATGCTCCACCTGTCTTCAGTTGGTATATGTTTGAATTTCAGCAGCAGAGGGAACAAAAACTCGGAAAGCTTAGTTACTTAAGGGAATTAACTGAAATGGAGATGGCCAGAAAAGGCATAGCACATGGCATTAGAACAATCTACCCCCATGGACAAAATACAGGGTTCAGTTCAAAATTCTCATGGGAATTCACCTGAAGAAGCATACAATAGCTGAAATGTCATGAACATGGCAATAAAGATGACAACGGTCCAAACGATGTAAATAGTGTAAATTGTTAAAATACCCCATCTCAGAAATATAGACAGATCCTGAAGAAGGTTGGAGCATACAATGACTGAAACATTGTGAATATGCCTACAAAGATGACAACAACAGTCTGAACGATGTAAATAGTGTTATAGATAAGCGTATGGTTGCAAGAAAGAAATACGACAACAGAAGAAATAGATTTACGAGATTTATTTCAACATGAACGTGAGGGTTTGGGACAGCTACCTTGTGGTATAGTTCATAAGCCGGCTTCGGATCTAGGTCGATCTCTCATAGTAGGCACTCCCCTGCTGACAGCTGCTGACCGCTTGGCCTGACCATGACAGGTCTCTTCCCTGGCCACCTGTTGACTGCCTGTTGTACTTCCCTGTGACCCCTTTTATGGCATTTTTTTATGGCTTAACAGGCTCAAAAAACGAAGCGAGTATAATTAAGAGGGAAGCATTTTTATTGGACGAAAAATAGAACACTTTAAATAATATTTTATTTTTCGGCCCGAACTCGTAGGCCGAACATTTGTAAACAAAGATAATGGTCATTTTGTGATGGGGCTTTGTCCCCGTCATATCGATCGCTCTTGAGTATGTTAGTTTATTTGCCTGTAAATCAGCCGAGATATGTCTTATTTTATTTTATAACAATAGTTACAATATGTCATCTAAGAAATATAGACAATTTATAATAAAAAATATATATCAGTTGGTTAATACTGATTTTATTTGGAAAACATTGACGTAATGAAGTCTGAATCTGTGTATAACTTTCCTTGGATTGCATCAGATTTTAAATTTCCTCCTACAGAGCTAAGTGGTTCCAGTGTGAGAATTACCAAAGGTAAAACTTAATACAAACAATAGTTGCTTTTTCTTTTTTTCTAACCTTGATTTGTGTTTTTTTTTTTTCTTGTTTGTCGATGGTGGAAAAAGGATCAAATTTGCTTCCTTGAATATTTTTTTTTTTTTATTTCTGATTGTGTTTGTCTTTTTCAGTTTTATGTTATCTGGAGTTGGTTACCTGCCCGCTCGGCTGTCTGCCAACCTCTCTTGTTGTACACATCGGAAGAACATGGCGTCAGTCTAAAGACTCTTTATGCAAAGACAGAAGAATATGAACCAACTATAATTGTCATTAAAACCACATCAAATGAGGTAAAGTACTTTTGTTTCAGCCATTGATTTATTTGGTGTTGGCTGTTTGATTTTGTTTAGCAGCATATCAACACCTCTATGGGTTATTTAATGTCAAAATCTAAGTATTTTGTGTGTAATTTTACACTTTCAACTACAATAATTTTATTCTTTTGGTACTTATTAGATATATATTTTGTAGATCATAAAATGTATTGTTGGTCTTTTTACTAGAGGCACTGATATGTATATTTTATGTTGAAGTTATATTTTGGAATACCATTTGATTCAAGAAATTGTCAGGTGTTCTATGGACTAATGAAAGAGTTCTTTCATGTTGATTGTTTGGTTGATTTTGTTTAGCTGCATATCGACACCCCTATGGGTTATTTAATGCCGAAATCTAAATATTTTGTATGTAATTTTATGCTTTCAACTACAAATATTTTGTATGTAATTCTATACTTTCGGTATTTTTTTAGATACATATTTTGTAGATCATGAAATGTATTGTTAGTAATTTTGCTATAAAATTGTAAATTTATATTTTTTGTCATGCATTGAATGTCATTTTTCTACAAAAATGTATTGTTGGTCATTTTACCATAAAAATGTACTGTTGATTTTTGTTTGGAGGTTCACTATTTGCCCATAGCTGGGACCCTGACAGGTGCTACCACCCCAGGTCAGTGTGGAGCTGGGAACAATACTCCCCAAAACCTCCAATCTTCAGATCAGAGGCCTTGCTTCTGGATATATTTTATCATCATACCCAGGACAAGATTTATCTGGGGCCTTGTTGATGGCACTAGTAAACCTCAAGTGGAACTCATCTATACGATCTATTACTAAAGTTGCTAGAGAATTGGTCGATTCATTGTACTGCTGCCCCTATTATACTCTGTCTTTACAAGAATGAGAACAGACCCAAAATAAAGTATTGCTGCCATATCTAGGTTGGGGCTGCCCAATCCACACTTGTTTGTCTTGACAGAGGTCAAAAGCATCTCCATGATCTTGTGGGTGTTGAATTGATTTCCACCCTACAACTCCTTTTCTACAGACTCTTGTCACCAGTCTCTTGCCATTTTCATGGCATGTGTTCTGATGCACTACATTCCTTGGTTATGCCAACCCTGACCTTAGCAAATGAGACCCACCATGCCATGTACACAATGGTGAATCCTCCTTATTTTCTTTGTATTCCATCAAGAAGAAGTAAGTTCCACTTGGACAGTTTCTTCCTAAGAACTGCTTCTTTATGAAACAGATTCCTGACAGGTAGTTTTTTTGAATCACTATAATTTTGACCTCCCCAAGTCTGCCTTAACCTTTATCTTTCTGATATAACCTCATCAACTGCTTTTCTTGCTTTTTCTTATGCCCATCTTATTGCTGGTGACTTGTATCCGAGGATGCCTGTCTACTAGGGTGGCTAACCAATCCCTGTTCCAGACACATGCCCAGGCACATTTGGTTGGTTGATTTTGTTTAGCGGCATATCAACCTCTATGGGTTATTGAATACCGAAATGTAAATATTTTGAACACAATTTTATTTTTGGAGATAATAATTGTTTAGGGATACAAGTTTTACTAACTTAACCCATAGCTGGGGGAGAAGAGGCGGATTAATAACTTTCTCAAGGATATTTGTGCATTAGTGAGTATAATGAACCAAACTGGAATTGGAACATGGCTCTCTGAGCCATTATCCATTACACCACCTGCAAATCCAAACTTATATCACTTGGTATTCCCAAGGTCACCTATCTAGGTACAGACCAGGCTCAACATTGCTTAACTTTGGTGAATGTATGGGAACTGGTATTTCAATGTGATGTGGCTGTAAACCACTCAGTAGGAATTGAACTAGTGTCGGGTGGGTAATGGTTTTGTAATTGGCTGTATTTAATAACATGTTGGAACCACAGGTATGTAAGGCCATATGCTGACATTATTCAAATAGTCAAAATTTCTTTGATAGTTTTTAGAATGTTATTGGAACATCATTTGTGATCCTTATTTGGTTCAATTCAAGGCAAATTTGGTTTTTGTGCAGTTATTACAAATTTATGGGATTTAAATGTTTTTTTTTGTGGCATGGGGAGAGGGAATGTGAGTCTCATCTGCCATCAGATTTTGTATGTTTTCTTTTTTTTTCTCATAAATAGGTTTTTGGCGCTTTTTGTTCATCTAGTTGGGAGCATCGGAAACAATGCAGCAAGAATATTTCTTATTTTGGCACTGGAGAGACATTTTTATTTACTTTGCTACCAGATCGTAAAAAGTACCCATGGGTGGGTTACAATCGTCCAGATATTGCCAGAAATGCTGCAAGCATGTTCATGGCTGGAGATAATTCGGTTCTTATCATTGGTGGAGGGTAAGTAAAACTTTTTTTTTTCTCTTTTCTTTTCTTTCTTTTTTCTTTTCTTTCTTTTTTCTTTTCTTTCTTTTTTCTTTTCTTTCTTTTTTCTTTTTTTTTTTGTCTTCCACTCATCTCGTTATTCAATTCTTCCTTTTTCCCTTTTTTTCTTTTCCGTTTTCCATGTTTTTTTTTATTTGTTAGTTATTCTATTCTAATGTTGATGATGACTTTTCTCATGAACAACAACACCAATATCTATGATTATTATCTCCAACGATCTGCCTCTACTCAGTTTCCTGAGCACATTTTGTACCCAATACTCAGGTGACTGACCCTAACAGTCATAACCCTCACAGCTAAGATGCTCCACACCACAAACAACAAGACAAAACTACCCTCGTTCCTTTCGTTTAGTGAGAATTTCCACTTGAACAGTTTCTCTCATGATCTGCTATTTTGTGGAACTGACTCCCAAGATGATGCTTCCCCAATCAATACAATTTAAACCTGTTTAACACTAGGAAAAAGATAAAAAGATACCAAGTACCACTACATGTATTCTCTCTATCTATCTCTATATATATATATATATATATATATATATATATATATATATGGCAAATTTTATTCAAGACAACTGATATTTTGTGTTGATTGATTTTATTGATCAACTCTTCTATGACAAGGAGGAAATTCCATTAGAAATTGTCCAAAGTTCATTTCGGAAGAAATGTCCAAGTTTTTGACTTTCGTAAGTCATCATCAGGGTAGGTAGATAAAAATTGTGAGTCTTGTAGAACTAGTTCTACGAAACTTACCATTACTTGATGTGGTTTCATGTTGCATTCACTATTCTTCATGGATGATGGCGTAACCAATTTGGACTTTGGAAGCCTCCACTTAGATTCTGTTTCAATCCTTAACACCTCTCTTCTCCAAATTTTGCTTTCTTTGCGTTCATAAATGATTTGAATTCTAAAATGAATTATTTTCATTATTTTTCTTTAGGTTCTTTCCTCATTTTGATAGATTTTGAGTTGACACTATTTACATTACTCAGACTGTTGTCCTCATCTTTATTGCCATATTATGACATTTTGGCCATTGTATACTCCAACCTTCTTCAAGTGATATATGTTGGAATTTTGAACTGAAACCTTTAATTCGTTGACAAGAGTAGATTGTTCTACTTCCACATGCCATGCCTTTGGATATCTCAGTTTCAGTTAATTTCCCTTCATAACTCAACTCTTTTTGTTCCCTTTGCTGTGACCAGGTTTTGAACTCACAACTCCTTGTCAAAATGTGAATATGGCAGTAAAGATGAGGATAACAATCTGAACAACGCAAATAGTGTAAACACTTACAATACCTCATCTCAGAAATATAGACATTTAGAGTCGGTTTGGTTTCATTTCTTTTATGACATATCAAACTTAATGGGTTATTTCATGCCAACATGATTTTTATTGCTAGTAATATTTTTTTTTCCTACAAAAATGTATTGATGGTAATATTTTTTTCAAAAATGTATTGCTGGTAATAATTCTTTCTTCAAAAATTCATTGTTCGTAATAATGTTTTGTAAAAATGTATTTCTGGTATTAAAACCTTTTTTTACACTTTTATAGTGTTTTGACCTCAGTTTGGGGGTTAACTATTTGCTCATATCTAGGACCCTAACAGGTGCTACCACCCCGGGTCAGGGTGGACCTGGGAACACCAGCAATTAAGAGGTAGTTCCATACTCCTCAAAACTTCCTGATCAGAGGCCTTGCTGTTGGATGTAGTTTATTGTCTTACCCAGGACAGCATTTAGAGTTGAGTAATGGCAAAAATTATACATATTTGTATAACATTTTACCAGAGGTTTCCATGGTTGAATTGTTTAATGCACCATCCATGAAAGACTATTTTCTGTAATATAAGATAAGAATTCAAGTCTCTTTGGAAACTACTACTTTATTCCTACTTCATACTCTAACTTAGCAATAGTCTAAGATTCTTTGAATTTTGAAATGAAGACTTTGGTGTTGAATTGCTCAGCTTTTATAAAATCCCAAAGATGTTACTGGTGCCATCATTTTCTTTCATCCTTATTCACAATAATTTACATATGGTTCTCTTTGAATTTCAGAGGCGGCAATGCTATCATGTTGGATGAAAATCTTATTCACTGTCGTACGGAAAAGACTGAGACGTTTGATAATATCCCACTGTGTTCTACTGAGGACTTTGAGTGTAAAGTTGTGGAAGTTTTCGCATTCCAGTGAAACATCTCGCGGAAGAATGAATCTTTTTAGCACACACACCTTTGAAAACACTTCTTTTGCTAAGGTTCAAAGAGCACAGCCCACACTCGCATAACAAGATTGTACTGTTCTATAAGTAAAAGGCAAAAATTGATTTTTGTAAGTTCTGCTGTTTTTGGCATTGTCAATTAACAAAAACAAAAAAGGAAACCAAAAAAAACAAAAAAAAAAACAAACTTTCTCCCTCTCCAAAAAAGAAAAATGAATTTCCATTGCCTGTTGGTCACTGTCAATGACCTGTCTGGATGATAGAATTTGTTCCAAATAATAGAAGGTCAGAAGAATCTAGACAAGAAAATGGAAAGTTGGGTTCACTTACAAATGTCAACAATTCTTTTTTTTTTTTTCTTTAAGAGTAAGGAGCAACTTTAAACTTTCGGCAGGACTCCTTCAGCCTTGTATTTTGTGGTCAGTCTATTCATGTACTTGTAAAATCCATGATTTAGTGTATTATAAATGGGTATGAGTAATGTTAATCATAGCTAGCCTGCCATATAGAGTTGTCAAATTATCATTCAACTTATCACTTGAGTCAATTCAAATATTGGCTTGTGTAAGCCCAGCTTTACTTCAAGATGTTGTTAAACTTTAGATAAAATTAAATGAGATTTGGATGATTAAATAGAAAAACAAAATGAGTGTTTAGTTTAAATAAATAAAATTTTAAAATGATTCTAGAAGATTATTTTTTTTAAAGTCAAAGACCAATCTGCCTCAGTCGTATTGTGTTGTGTCAGTATGTCAGGTTTCTTGTATAAGAAAAAGAAACTCAATTTACCAAGTATTTTGGCTTTATGTCACTATGTAAATTGATGGGTCTGTGCATAAAAAAACAAGGAATAATTTTTTAACAATCTGTGTAAATTCCATTCATTAGGCTTTATTATATGCATGACATTTGTTTAAATTGAAAAATATTGATTTTTTTTTTTTTTATAATCATTTTAGAAGAGTAGGTACAGTTCACAATAAAGGGCGTGGCAGAAGTATGTCCCGCATAATGGTACGACATTAGTAGCAATGGTGTCTTCATCTTACTAATGTCCTACCATTATGTGGGAAGTACTTCTGCTGCACCTTGTATAAGTAGAATATCAAATCAATCCTTGACTTCTTAGAGTTATCTGTACTTTGTTTTTATTTACAAATCTCAAGTTCAAAACTGTGATTACATCATTGATATCTGTGTATGAGTGATTTGTAATAGTACACAGTTAGCAATGATGTAAGTACAGTTTCAAACTTGACATTCGTAAATAAAACAAAGTACAGATTACTCTTTAAGATGTCATGGATTGGTTTGACATTGTATTTATATTATGAACAGGCCCTCCTCCACTTCTAAAATGTTAAATAAAAAAAATCAATATTTATTTGATTCTGACAAATTTAGGATGTTTAATGATTGCTAATCTATAAAAATTATTTCTTAAAAAAAAAAATATTTTTTTTTTTTTTTTAACAAGCAGACCACTCAGTTTAAGTAGTACCCAAAATATTGAAGAAGAAGAAGAAAAGAATATTAAGACTAATGAATTATTCTGCTTCTTATATTCAAAATTTGGGGACAAAAATTCTACTGATTTTTATTTTTCTTAAGTACTACCTCTGGGTCCTTGTATTTTTTAATGCCCCTACCTACTCAAAACTAATATATATATATATATATATATATATATATATATATGATTGTATTTATTTTTATTTTTTGGTATATGTTTGAGAATAATTTTTTTCAGTCAATAATATATAATATTGACCGGCTTTGCATAAAAAATTCCCTTTCCTAAATTGACCTCTCAACATGTTTATATATTTGTGATGAGACTTTCACTGATGTAAAGATATATTTAAATGTTGTGAAAAGCCTGACCATAATTACAGGATTTTGTTTTGTCTGTGCTTGAAAAGCAAACCAACTTATTGTCTCTTGTGTACACCGTTTGTATAGTCTTTAAATGAAATGATGTGAATGTTGACTTGTGTTAGTTTTCGGTAATATTTGGTTATATTTGTGTCTCTGTTTTTAACATTGTTGTTGTTGTTACAAAAAAGCATCAGACAATCCTGTGACAATCACCATCTTCTGTCATCCTGAATCCTGTTCTTTTATTGTCCCGTCTCCTCACTAATGTTTTCTCATTTTCTTTCACTCTCAGTAGCCCCTTGCGTCGTAGTGACATCAGTCAGGGTGAAATGATTAAAAACAACAAAGACAACACTGGATTAATACTGTTTTCGGATCTTGAATAAATTCCAATTGTTTCGTATTTGAATTCACATAAAAATCTTAGTATTTGATTTAGGATTTTTATTTAGAATTATTAGAATAGAGTTGTAAATGTTTTTTTTTTTTTTATTGTTTGGGGTGAAGTGAATAAAAAAAATAGAATATTTTAAAGAATCTTTTATTTTGATCAAGAGACATTACTAAATACACAAGTGAAATTATTTTCTGGCAAACTGATTTAAATGTTAAACAAAATACTAATCAGGGTTAAAATTAATTTAATTTCAAAGAATATCAGAATATGACTATTTAATCCATTTTGTATCTTTAATTGCTTAGTCATGTTTGTACTTTGAGATTTGTAGATTTATCAAATATCGGTTTAACCTCCAGCTCTCGGTATTATTCATTAGTATTACTTCCTTTTCATGGGATTCTTTTTCAGGGTGAAGTAACCCTTTTATTGATTTCAGTTAAGGTTCGTTTTAGCTGTTTCCATAGCAGGACATGACAACACAATTACAAAATTTAAGCATACCATTGTTGAATAATTGGAGTCACAGCATCAGGAAACTCTTTTTGCTTGGATAACAAAGTCACCTATAGAAAGAAGGCTGTTGATTTCAATCTGTGGAAATGATTGCAAAACACTTTCTCCTCTCCAATTTATAGCCAGAAGCACACAAATGCATACTGGGATTTTTTCCTAGCCAATAAATTAGACCAGTTCACAGTTTCATCTGACTCAGTCCTGATCTGTCTTGTCTATTCCTGATATTTATTTAACTTAAATTCCTTTAATATTATAAGAAATTTCTGTTAACATCAGTAAACATTTGTGAGCATTTTCTTTGCCACGGAAAAAATGTACAAACCAATGATATGCTATTTTCTACATGTGTTTGTTTTGAACACATGATGCAGAGGATTTTGTTATGAACAGATTTAAATTGACAAATCTTAACCTCATTTTTATGTCATCTTCAAAAATATTAACACCTGTATTTATTTTACATAAATCAGAAATCTTCTGCCTAGTCAGTCATGAATCGAAAGAGACATGATTGCCCAAGTGTGCATTGCATATGGCACTTAACTGACTGGGTAAAAAGGGGCCCACTCTTGCCTAAGTGTGATCTAAAACGGCACAAACTACATGTTTTTTTTTCTCTTCTGTCTTACAAAGAGTGTAAGTCAAAGTTGTTGACAAATGAATCTGGCAAAATAAATTAATGGTATTTATTTTAAAAGGAATTAGAATCAGGAAAACGTAAATCCACAGGAATATATTTGACACAGAAAAGAGGAAAAACAAAAAATCATATCCTAAAATGGAAAAGTTCTCAAAGTTCAAAAGGAGAACATGGAACTTCTAAAAATAATTTTTATCCGAAGATAAGTTATCCTTATTTACATTCAGACTAACGTCCATATCATTTTGTTCTCTATAACAATGTTTCAGCTGTTGTTCTACCCGGCCTTCTTCAGGTATCTGTAAATTCAGGTAATCTTCAGAAAATTTTCAAACTGAACCCTTTATTCAATGTACAGAGATAGATTGTTCTCATTCTGCTGTCTATGTCTTATTGATACTTAGTACTGCTTAGTGATTACTCAGCTGGTTTTCAATAATTCTAAGTCTGTACTACCTAGTCCATGGATTGAACTCACAATCACTGTGGATCAGATTTAGACTCAGTAGAGATGGGGGTGGGGGGTGATAACCGAGTAGTACTAAAAAGCAAACATGATATCCTTTGGAATGGGCAGTGGAACAAGAACAATGTTTGCAATTCCTCGTAGGTTAACTGGATTGACAGACACCTGAAGAAGGCCTGAGGGCACAGTGGCCGAAACGTTGTGATGATAACAACAAGGATGAAGACATTAGCCTGAATATAAAGAACGTGAAAAAAGCCAAAATAAATTCTTTGAAATAAACTGTTATTCAGTTGAAAATGAACGGTAAAGATGATGAATAGAAAAATAAAAACAAAAACCAAAAACCTTAAACTCCTTCAGTTTCCTCCTCCTCTCAACCACAAGAGAAAAGGTTTACAGTCTTTGTCATCCTATGATTTGATAAAATCTTTTATTTTTTAGGCAAGCAGTGCTTTTAGATCAGAAGAGATTTGAACAAAACGGGCATTCATAGTAAAGAATAAAAATAGAAGTTAAGCAACATTAATCCTGGTCAGTACCTAGATGGGTGACCGCTTGGGAATACCAGGTGCTTTAAGCTTGGGTATGCAGGTGGTGTAATGGATAATGGATCGGAAATGTTAATCGGAGAACCAAATTCCGATTTCACTTGGGGTCATTATGTTCATTTATGTGCAAGTAACCTTGAGAAAGGTATGAATCCACCTCTTCTCCTCCCAACTATGGGTTAATTAGTAAGATTTGTATCTCTGAAATCCATTATTAAATCCAAAAAAAATTTACACAGTTTATTTAGATTTTGGCATTAAATAACTTATAGAGGTGTTGATATGCCACTAAAAAAACAACCAACATCACAAAAATGTATGCACACTTTGCTCCGTATTTCTTAACTTAATTGTTTCATGTTACCTTCGTCTCATTTATAGATTTCTCTTGGATAAATCTTTATCATCATTTTTTTCTTTTTAGCTGGATGAAAAAAGGACAGTTGTTAGATGAAAATATTAAAACAATGTTCAAATTTTTTTTTTTTTTTTTTTTTGCTGGAAAAACACATGAGTTAAAA